AAAAGAACTTACGCACTCCTATATCCATAGCAGAACTGTTTACAATAGCCAAGTTTTGGAAACAGCCTAAGTGCCCATCAGTACATGAGTGGATTAAAAACCTGTGGTACATTTTCACAATGGAATACTATGCAGTAGTAAGAAGGAAGTCTTACCTTTCACAACAGCATGGATGGAACTGGAGACCATTATGTTAAGTGAAATAAACCAGTCAGTGAAAGACAAATACCATATGATCTCACTTATAAGTGGAATCTAATAAGCAGAATAAACTAATGAGCAAAATAGAACCAGAGACGTGGAAACATGGAACAGACTGACAGCTGTAAGAGGGGTGGGGGAAGGTGGGGACTAACCAAGAAAAGGTAAAGGTGAAAAGGTCCTTAGTCAAACACTTTATGAGAATGACCAATGAACAGGGACAACAGCGTGGGAGTTGACTGTGGCTGTTGGGGGTGGGCTGGGTGGAGGGGGGTAAAAAGGGATACATTGGGACAACTCTAATAGCATAAACAATGAAGTATTTGAATTTTAAAAGAAGAATGAATTAACCAACTCATGAATAAAGGAGGGCATGTGGTGGAAAGGAGCCCACGGGCGGCCTACTGGTACACAGTACTGCGCAGAGCTCCCACCAGGTGGCGCTGCAGGCTGCGGACGTGCCGGACCGCTGTCTCCCAGCACCAACGGGTTTTCCTAAACAGTCTCGGGACCTGGAGGACTAGTCTTTCGACTTGCAGCGCTTTCAGGCTCTCACCCTCCGCCCCGCTGCCCTGCTGCTTGCACTCGTCTGCGGCTGCTGGACTGGTTCTGCTGGCGCTTCTGGAAGGAGGAGTTGGAGCTGACGCTCGCTCGTGGGGCTGCAGTACAGGGCAGGATAACCTTGTCAGTGTCAGGGCCGCGGTGATGCCCTACTGCTCACCCGCCCACCCGCCGCGGCTGCCAGAAAGCCGGTCAAGGCCCCTGCGCGCCATCAGGTGGGGGGGGGGGGTGGTTAGTGAGCGTGCCTGTTCCTCCCCGGACCGGACTCGGAGTGTCTCTTGTGTTGGTGGCTTTGGTGGGCAGATGAAGGGTTCATTCCTAGGTGAATTTGGGTTTAATCACGTGTTTAAAGCTCTTGGGGGGGTTGAAGTTTCCCTGGGGCTAGCGCTGTAGGGGCTGCTGGAGGGTTAACTCGAGCCTGTAGCTTCCCCGAAGGGTGGGACTTGGCTCCGGTGACGGAGCGGCAGAGTCCAGAGGCTCTGTCCTCACGACACAGAGCTCCAGGGCGGGCTCCTTCCCTAATTCTGTGCGCAGCTTGTCCCACATCATTCGGGTGCGGGTTTCACTGGTTCCCCGGGCGGAGGTCAGCGGGTGGTTGCTGCGCTGATCAGTGGGAACTGGGGACAGAGCTGCAGCCGGTCTGCAGCGGTGCCCCGCGTTTATTCCCCCAGGCAGTGAGGGGGCGCTGCGTTTCCAGGACTCACACCTTAAGTGGGGGCGAGACAGATTTGTAATCCGCAGAAAGTTAACCACCTTGACAGAGTGTGTTGGGGGTGCGTTCTTACAAGAGGAGGGCGTGGACAGGACTCATTCCAGGCCCAGGGAATGGGTAACTGGGAGGGAAATCGCCCTGGGAACACAAAAACAATATGATGTTTATTCAGCAGTGACTTGAGTAGAAGGATGATTATTGAGGAAGGAATAAGAGCCAAAGATTTTCATTCGTCTTCATGTAGAACCCAGGAGTTGCCTTGACTGAGTCTTAGATGGTCAGGATGAGTTTGAAGCGATCCTAAAAAAAGATAGATGGTAGCACTTCTTCCTCCTTAGATATGACAGCCTGAATCCTCACTTACTAGGAGGCTACCTGTCCACCTGGTTTGGTTGCAGGAGTGATTTCCCTCACAGCTCCCTTATTGGAGAAAATAGGTGGCATGTGCCTCTCAGTCCTTGCACTAATGGAGCAACAGGAATGAGGAAAAGAGGTGAGCAGAAATCCAAATTTCCTTTGAAGAATGTTGCATATAAGTATAAACTTACCTATTGGTTTCGCTTTTTTTGGTAATTTTTTTTGCTTTAAGTAACTTTCAACAAGTATAGTATGGTAGAATGTATATCTACTAACACTAAAATCAATAGGAAAAACTTGGGGCAAAGTATCAATATTAGAACTCTTATATGATGCAGAAAAAAATCAGCCAGAGTACCTAAGTGCTCAGTTAACTGTACATTTTGTGATACTCCCTTCATAGAAGAATTGGGGTCTCTTTATAAATCCTGTCCTTTTGACAAGACTTAATTAATTTATAGTGTAGATAGGTGTATCACTACAAAGAGTTGTATTTGTTGCAGAGAAACCTATTATGCTGGGAAACCTTGAGTGAGTCCTTGAGTGACCCAAAACAGTGTAGCTTAATATGATGGGCACGAACTGTGAAGTCACACAGCCCCGGGTTTGCCATCAGGCTCTGCCACCTTGCAGCCTTGTACACTCTTTCAGTCTCTGCTTTCTCACCTGCTGAGTGGAGATCATCTGTTTCTTACACACTATCTTTACAGAGGAAATGAAATGACATATGTGAAGTGACTAGTGTCCTGCCTGCCCAGAGGAGCTAGATAGAGCGTAACTCTTGTTATGATTTGTAGTGGTACATCCTTTAATGCAGAAACATTGTATTAAAAATATTGAGAAGGGAATTAGCTGGGGTCATTTCCTTCTTTGAAGCTCTGTGTGTGTCCAGCTGTGGGCTGCAGTAGTGGGTTGAGGGGTTGAGGCAAGTAGTCACATCCCCCACAAACATATTTTTAAAAAATTATTTTGAACAACAACAAAACTTCTGGAAAGCTGCTGAATTCATACAGAACCAGTGTTCACACTACTATTTTAAATTAGACTATACTTTTTGAATTATAATGATATCTGTAGTTTCTGTTAAGAAAAAAGTCTTTACTATAATTGACTATGTATTAGCTGGGATGGTGACAAACAATCGAAGGGAGACCTCAATGAAGGTCATACTTCTTCTTTTTAAACCTCAGACTCTAACCATATATGTGATCTTCATGGAATATATTGGGGGTAAGAAAAGGTCAGTAATTAAAGGTGGTTTTACAGACTTTTAGATAGAAACAGAATGTCCAAAATAGTAAATTTAGCATTTTCTTTTTAAAAATCAATTGTATGTCCTTTGTATTTTGTGTAAAATGTGTGTTTGATGGACTCAGAAATACAGATGAGTCAAGCATTGTGTGTTCATAATGTGGGAACATTATGTGTTCCTTTATGTGGGAACTTTTATTCCAATTGAACCAGTAACTTCCCAGGTATGAAAAGCTTCAGGTAAAGTCAATTTTCTTTGGGTAAAAGTCAATTCTTTTGTAAACATTAAGGTGTGGATATATCTTCTGCCTTAAAACTTTCATAAATGTAATAAATGTTTAACTTCCTCAAATGGTTTGTGAAGCTGAAATACTTATATGTAGGATTTGGTCCATCCTGAAATTAGGCAGTTTACTTACTTACAGAGTTCCAAACCTAAAACTCATGTTTTTAAGATTTTAAAACTGAAGTGATACTTAATTTTACCTACAATTTTATGTAGGGCCACTTTGATACACACAGTGTTCACTGTGTTTTGGACATTAGAAAAGAAATCTCTCTAGTCATTAATGTTCTGACTCATGTTAGGGAATGACAGTGAGTGCCCATCACCCAGTATTCTGGCCGATATTTACAGAGGAAAGCATGTGCCCTCTATGTGTGTTGAGCAATCTTTATTCTTAACTGAGGCTTTAGACGGCTTATAGGATAGTTAACTAAGAAATGTTTAACAGGATCTGCTAAAATGTTACAGAATAAGTTGATAGAGTGTGTGTGATCTGTCACAGGGGGTCACGGCCAAGTAGCATTTGAAGCTATTCCTTCTGCAAAGGTATGTTGGGGCTTCAGGTACTATGCTAAGTACTAGGGATATAAAGCTAATAAAACTTTGCCCTCCCTGGGAGGGCTCACAGTTTAGTGTGTTTGTTTAAAACAGCAGGGGAGGGTGTCAGTAAGCATGCTGAGATCCAGGGGTCAGAACCTGAGTCTGGGGATGGCATTGCCTCCTAGACCCCTGGGAGAGGGAGCAGGAGAAGGGAGCCCGAGGTCCTGCCCCTTATTCAGGCTCCTGTAGCTCCTACAGCAAAGGTGACTCTCACAACAACTGGAAGGATCCAGGGCTGACCTTGGAGCCCAGGACGTGGGTGAAAAGACAAGCTCACCTCTGCAGGAACCTGAGGGACCTTCGTGCCTGATGACATTAGTGCATTTCCCATCATTGGGAACAGTGCAAGTTACCAGGGACTGAGTTGGCCCTGTGTCAAGGAGCACTCTGCCTCCCTGACAGTCGAGCCACAACCTCATCCTGCCCTGGGGGCAAATCCTTGTGACCTTCATGCCTCCTGACTGTAAACTGTTAATGTTGATCCTTTGGAAATACTCAATGTGTTGGGTGTGATTAAACTAAAGAAGGATTAAGGTGAGTTTCTCTTTTGTTTAAACTTCAGCTTGTATTCTTATTAAGGGAAGGGACTGAAAATGTAAAAATCCAAGGGGGCCAGGAGCATGTTGTGGTCCCAGAAATGATGTTGCAACACGGGTTGGGTCCACCATAGGTACCCTGAGTCAGTCTCCTGTCAGGGTCTGGACTGGAGATGGGCCACTTAAATCACCTCTGGTAGACAGTAACGGACTCTGAGAGTCTGGGAGGCACAGGGAGCAAGCTATGGTGGGTGCTGTGGAGCCAGCCACCCACCCTTCTCTCAGGCTTTTTGAACCTGCCCTTCAGACTGTCCCCAGCCAGTGATCAAAGTAGCTGACAGTTCAGCCTTCAAAGAGGAGGTGTTCCTTTTAACACCCATTTGCCATCTTGCAAAATCTTTATCATGAAACCTGCCTCCTTGTGTATAAGACACATCCCAGTTCAGAAAGGCTCAGCCCTCAGTGTGGTCCTCTGCAGGAGAGAAGCATCTGACAGCCCGGGCCAGCCAAGCAGGCACAAAGGAGAAAGAGAAGCGGATTAAGAGTGGATGAATCCTCGTTGTGTGACTTCTCTGCGCAAGCTTCTTCCTTGACCTCAGAGGATAAACTTTGCTCTGCCTACCTGGCAGGGTGGCAGTATGAGTCCAGAGAGACACTGCCCTTCAGAGAGATGTTGTGGAGCTGGTGACCAAGTCACACCTGGGCTCAGGTTTTATATTTGCCATTTATGTGGATGTCCCTCTGGCAAGTGACTCACTTTCTGTGTGCCTCAGCTTCTTCATTTGTAAAGTAGGGATAATAGTATCTACTTATATATGGTGTTCTCAGATCAACGTTGTAATTTATGAAAAGAGAAGTGCCAGACCACATGCGGAACCTCAAGAAATGGGAGCTGTTTTACAAGTTGTTATCAGGAGGATAGTACACTTGAGCCTTGAACACGCTGGGGTTAGGGGTGCCAGCGTCCCTGGTAATAGAAAATCTGTGTATGATTTTTGACTCCCCCAGCTCTTGAGCTGTCCCTCAGTGTCCCTCAGTGTCCCAGTGTCCCTACAGGGCATTGGTTTCAGGACCCTCATGGATACAAAAATCCACAGACGCTCAAGTCCCCACATACAATGTGGAGATCAGTGCAGACAGTTGGCTAACTCCCGACTCCTATCAAACACAGGTCAGGTATTTAGTGAAAGAAATTAGTGAGTAAGTTGAAACCCATGTTCCTCCTGGATTAGCTGTATCATTATTCTTACAACTGCCTTTGTTACCATCACCATAGACACTGTGGGGAAAGCCCATTGGAACCTGTGGAGCCTGTGGAAGGATGTTGTTACTATGTAATGTCTAGGTTGTCCTAATGAAGTTCATAATTGCCCAGGACTTACTGCAGAACAGCTACCCAGAGCTTTTGCACTGCCTGTCATATAAACAACTCTGATTGGCTTCCTGCAAAGTGGCATGAGAACCACCCCGCCTGCTGCAGAAGCAAAATCCATTTCCGCGTGAAACAAGAAAGAAGTCCTCCTGATTTCTGCTGTAATGGGTCAGTGTTAACTTGTACTTGAAGCTACACACAACAGAGTGCACATGTGCAGAGTTAAGTGCCACAGGCCCCACGTGGGCACATTTACACACGATTTTCTGTGCCTTCCTGTGTTCTAGTGAGACATTTCTGGCTTCTCATACATGGGGCCCTCCCACTCTTCCTTCGTGGCTTCAGTGATTGACGTGGTGGTGAGTTAGCACAGTCATTCCCTCACCTCATCTAGCATTCCTTAAGGGCCCACAAGCCAGCTACCAAACCTATGTGCGGTCACACCCATTTGAGAGGAGCTTCCGTAGAGCCTGGGAGAGGGAGAAGGGCACCAGCACTGCCCAGTTGGAGACATGGAAGACAGAGCCCTAAGGCCAAGGGACAGAGCCCAACACCTAATGCTTCTAACCTGCACTCACAGACTTGTGGCGGGAGTCAACTTTGCTAGGACTTGAGTTTGGCTTAGGAATGGGTCTAGAAGACTGACATAGTCCATGTCCTTAGGGAGCTCACAGCCCAGTGACAGGGATTCTGTTGACCAGAGTCTATGCAGGCTCTCCTGAACTTTCCAAGGAGGCCTCCACTTTGGGGCTTCCATGTTTGTCTCTGCAATCTCCAGTTCTAGCAAGAATCCTGCTGAGCTGGTTGAGCTGGATTCACTGATCCTCCATATGTGATTATTCTCCATTTCTAACTGATTTCCTCACCCCCTTCTTCCCCAGGTAATCTCTGACCCTACTGGCTTGCCTTCAGAAACATCCATCTGGCTTGTTTTACCACAATCCCCTGATCCAAATGTTTCCTTAGTGATTTTGCACCCACTGACCCCATCTGCTCCTCCCGGTAAAGTTCCCACTTGCCCACACTGTGCTCAGAGTTGAGCTTGGGTCTGTTCCAAAGTCTTTTTTCTCCTATTTTACTCCTGAATAAAGCCTGTTCTTATCACTTTACTGTCTAGCTCTGGTTTTTCTTTGAGGCTAAATGAAACATACACACTGGTGAATACCTAGTTTAATTCCAAGTAGAATTAAAATTGGGGTAAAATATGAAGGGTTTCAAAAAGAGTGAACAATGTTGGTCAGCAAAGAGGCAAGTGATGACACCTGAGAAAGCCTGGAGCTGGAAACAGCGAAAGTAGGTGTTGGGGTACAAAGTAGGGCTTCCACTGAGGGGTGATGTGAGATGCAGCCAGAGGGTGGAGGAAGCTGATGGGGTCTTGGACTCAGGTGACATTGAAGAGCTGAGGCGTGTCCGTGACAGCCAAGGAGGCATGAGGCTCTCCGTGTGCACACCAAGCACAGAAGCCTGGGTGAGAGAAATGTTATAACCTGTTCAGGTTGCTGGGGAGAAACAGGACCAGCCAGAGGGCTGTTGTAGTAGTGGAAAATCATTCAGTCTATGGATTTTGTAGATTAAAGAGGAAATCATGTAGGAATTGAGAAGAAGGAGCAATGAGCGCAGATGGATGAGATGGAGAAAGATGCATGAGAGACCAGATCCATCTAGCAGCCCAAAATGACACTCACCCCAACTACTTTGTTAAAATAAAAATGCATTGGAATTCCATCTTCCTAAGTCCTAAGACTTCCTAAGTCTTTCACCCTACCATCCCCTATCTCCATCAGCAAAATATTGATAATTGTTGATTATAGCCAAGATTCAGAAAAAGCAAATATATTAGATTTAATATGACATTGGTTTTGCTCTCTAATTTATTAAAATCAGGACTCATGCAGGGCAGCTGAGTGTATGTTCTGGAGATATCCATCAGCACATTTCATGTCCCATAGGCATCCCTGTGGCCAAAGGGTTTTCTACTTCACTTTAAAAATTGTAGTCTAAAAATCAGCACCCTGCATAGTGTAAACTGTTTTCATATATAACTCAGTACCTTCCCTTTTGCCTTCCCTTCCATAAGTAAAACAGTTCTAATTTATTTCTCTTTCCTTCTGTGGACAAAAACTATTTTTTTCTTGCTATAAAAGAAAGAATTCTAATTTGCTGCCGTGGAATCAGCTGAAGATAGACCTGGAACTTCAGAGTGGAGGTTACAGAGTGAAGTTCAGCTGACCTCACATTGCAAATTAAGCTGCAGTCCTCTTAAACTGCCAGCAATGATCGATTCTGCAACTGTGCTTGAAGGACATTGGGATGGCATTGGGCAGGGTGGAGGGGTTTTCACAAAAGCACTGAGTCCCTTGCTCCTGCTGCCATCCTGTGTAACGGGGCTGACTCTTGCCTGTCCCTTCAATTAGTCACATTCTGGCTCCCACTCTAGTATCATCAGAAGTTGCCCCAAGGTGGTGACAGTTTGTATTTCTTGGCTTGTTTGACAGCGGGCTGGGGGGAAGGAGGATAAAGCCAAAGGAATTGCTATTAAGACATAATGTTAAAATGTTCTCAGGTGAGATCTATGTGTGTGTAGTCAGAGGTGGGTTGAATTCCAAGATACATCTGTGAGGGTGGATATTATTTTTCTTTTCATTTAAGGTCATTTTGTCTGGAGCTCCCTCTTTCCCTAGGCCAGTAATGGTTTTACTCATAAAGTGACCCAATGTGTAGAGTAAAAGTCTTGAAGGGGGGGAAGCAGAAGCCAGCAAACCTCAGAGTAGTTGAAGGCTTTCCTGAGCTGGTTACATATACCATAGTCTAAATGTCTCAAATACAGTGGAATCTGGCAAAGAGTTCTGGTTTCTTCCCCAGGAAGTTCTCAGTTATTGTGAGCTCCTGGAGAAGGCAGAGACCTGCCCAATTTTCTTTCTCTGTCTTTTCATCCTCCCACATCGAGGCATGTGCTGGCCTGTAGAACCAGTCACAGCACACAGTAGGGTGAGTAGGATTAAGGGCAGAATAAAAACCATACATGTGTACATGTGTTAGTTCCCATGCCCCAGTCATGAGTGTGATTTGGTTGTAAACTGCCCCACGTGTCATGGAAGGTGAGGGACTTGGGGGACTCTTGGAGCAGTGCCCTGTGGGGACCTGCTACCTGTACCCCTACCCTCCCTACAAAGACACCCGGAACAGACTCTCTCTCCCTTTAGTAGTCAGCATGTTGGACAAGTGAAGTGAAGCCCACATGACTTAAAAGCAAGGTGCCATGCCTTGTTGTAGTTCAGAGGCATGGATTTGGTCATAGTACCTCCACATTTACATCAGAACTATCACAACTGGGAGGATTGGTGGGCCATCGGCAGGAGGGGCCTGAGCCTCCTGATGCACCCAGTTAACAGCACAATATGAATGAAACCTGGTCTCCCAGGGCGCTGAGCTCCTGCTGGACCTGTGCACTCACTGGAACCCTTGCTGAGTTAGAACCTCCCTCCTGCCAGCCACTCAGAGGGCTGAGAGCTGCTCTCTCTTGTTTATGTTTTACCTCCCACACGGGAAATTTAGTCCTTAACAAGAAAACGTAAGAAAAACAGATGATGTAAAAAATAATAGATTTATATGCAAAAATAAATTGTTTCTGGAAACTGAAGTCCAGGGCACAGCTGTCTATAGGCTGGGGCTTCAGAGCTCTGGCCTTCTTCCACTTGACCTCTGAGCCTATTCAAATTCAATTATTTTCTCCCTCCAAACTTCAAATAAAGCTTGATTTGGATGTGCTGCCCTTACTGAATGGGATTCTATAGCCTGTCCTCCCACCATGGAATGGCAGCATTTGAAAGGCCACTGTCTAAGTCTGTGGGGCATATTAAGGTCAAACGGCAGTTCTGTCTCAGCATCTGTGGGGATGACCTCAGCACCACGTGGCATGGAGCCCTTCACAGGCCTCCTCGCAGCATGTGCTCCTTGCTGGTCTAGCTCGTCGTTAGCATGTCTTCTCCAAGAGTCTCTGCCACATTCCTCTCTCCACTGGCTAGAAAAATCTGGATTCTCTCAGAATCTTAGATTTCTCTTTCCCCATGCACCGAGTTGAAGCAAACTGGGAGGAAGAGAAAAAAAAAGAAAAGAAGCAGGATTCCCCCAAAATTGTGAATCTCAGAGACCCATTTTCCCAGGTGCTTCCAAGAGATGTGTTTGTTTGTTTGTTTGTTTTCACAGTATTTTAGGAGCTTATGCCCCAGAGACATGTTTTCTCTCCACTTTTTAGGAGCTGATGTCCGAGGCATGGCTGCAGCTTCAGGGCAGCAGCAGAGCCAGGAGAAGAGAGGGAAGGGTCATCAGCAGTCCCCCACTCTGGCTCCAACAGGACCCTTGTCCAGTCCTCTTTGTGTCATTCCCCTCCTGCCCATGGAGCAGTGCTGAGACTCAGGACCTTTAGGACAGAGCTGAGATCAAGGTGGGGATACCAATCAGTTCACCACTTTGCTGGTCAGTCCTCAAGTGCTGACTTCTGTCCTCAGTCTGCCCCTGCTGCTTCCTTTTGGAATCTGCAGATACTGGCTTTTCTATGCTGTCCTGAGCTCGAGGTTGTCATCAGTGTGGGGATGGCCGGTGGTGGACCTGCTCCATCCTGGTGGCTCCAGAATGACGTGTTCCCTTTATTCAAGAAGGAGAGAGGAGAGGAAGAAAGTGAGCCTGGATAACAAGTAGACTTTCTTTAGAAATAAATGGACAGTGTTTCTTTACTCACAGGCTTTTGAAGTGCTATAACGTTTTGCACACGTTACTTTTATTTTATTCTTCTCTCTTGACATCCTTCCTGAAGAAGGTGAACAGAGTTCACTGTACACATATGGGGACAAGAGGCTGGGTGTGCTGTCCCAGGTTCTGAGATGCATAGAGTTTGTGCTGTTCTGCATTTCCAAGACACTCTGGCCATGCAGTTCAGATCTGGCAGGAGGCAGGACAAGCTCTGAGTGGCTCCAACAGGGCCTTCCTGACACTACCTGTCCCTCTATCCTACATGCTGTTTGTCTGTGCTCATTGCCAGCAGAATGCAGAGGGTTAGCTGGCCTCCAGGGCCTTTGGTGGAGTGACACATTGGAGAAGCCCTGGGTCCCTGAGTCACTATGTGGAGAGGATGAATTGCAGTGGTTCCCCTGATGTGAACTAGAGAGTTCACTGAGCTCTGACCATGAAAAGTCTATATGACAGTGTGACATAATTACCCTAACTGACCGTCTTTGATGGGCAATTAGAATTCTCCCTGCTAGACCACTGAGTAAGTGTTGGACTTCAATGGGTCACTTTGTGTCTCTCATCTCATTCAACCCCCTGCTGAAAGGCACATTGATGTCACCCACCAGCATCACCTTTCCCTTCCTGCAGTCCAGTTGGAAGATAAAGTGGAGTCATCTCTGGTAGGAAGAGCCTATGAAGACAAGGTATATTATTACCATAATTTGGAGAACCATCCTGCCAACTACACAGAGAAACATTATGAATCATCCCTTACCTTTGACAGAGCAGGAATATCATCTATGCAGTTGGGATGTGCAGATCATTAAAAAGCACAGGCTCCCTCGATGGTGCATCCTTCCCTCTGATGACCTTGCGTCCCTGAGTAGCATCACTCATGGCACCGTGACTGTGAGAGCCACTGGACCAACCAAGGCCATCAAGAAGGTCTTTTACATCCTAGGTTAATTTTGTTCCTGGGTATTTTATTTTTATTTTTTGATGCAATTGTAAATAGGACTGTACTCTTAATTTTTTATTCCAATAGTTCATTATTAGTGTATAAAAATACAACTGATTTCTGGATATTTATTTTGTATCCTGCTATTTTACTGAATTCATTTATATGTTCTCATAATTTTTTATGAAATCTTTAGGCATGTCATCAGCAAACAGTGACAGCTTTGTTTCTTCTTTCCAATTTGAGTGCCTTTTGTTTCTTCTTCTTCTCTGCTTGCCGTGGCTAGCACTTCCAGTACTGTGTCAATTAACACTTGTGAAAAACAACATTCCTGTCTTGTTCCCAGTGTTAAGTAAAACAGTTTCAGTTTTTGCCCATTGACTGTGATGTTGGCTGTGAGTATCTCCTATGCAGCTTT